TTGAACAACCAATCTACTGAACATGATGGCGTAATCATGACCGTTTGGGTCCAAGGTATCAACCCAATCAGGCCTTTACTACAAGAAATAACTTGTTTTAAATAAAATGTAATTTGACGACTCATTTGATGTCATCATCACATCAGGTAAATTTCGTTTAAAATACTTCCTTTCCTTGATATCTGCAAAGTTTCAAATCGATGGGATGTGTACTTCGGGAGATATGGTGCTTTAAACAGTGCACCTTTAATTTCACGTGACTTGCCTGCAGATGAAGTCATCATCACATCAGGTAAATCTTCGACTACAAGACTTCCTTTTCTTGTTATCTGCAAAATTTCAACTCGATAAGATACGTACTTCAGGAGATAGAGAGCTGAAGTTTTAAGGTCACAGGACTTGTCACCTGGTGACATCAACATCAAATGAGATCAATAATCGTCTTTATCACTTCCTTTCCAAGATATCAGCAAGGTTTGAACCCAATTGGTTATATGCTTCAGGAGATATAGAGTTTGAAATAGTGCACCTTTAATGTCACGTGACGTGTCTCCTGTCAATATTTACCTAAAACACTTCCTTTCCAAGATATTAGCGAAGTTTGAACCAAATTGGACACTCCTTCACGAAATTTAGAATTTTAGATAGTGCACCTTTAATGTCACATGACTTGTCATAAGATGACTCCATCTTAACATCAAGTCAATTTTTGTCTAAAGCACTCGCTGTCTAAGATATCTTGAAGGTTTGAACCGAATTGAATAAGTACTTCAGGAGATATAGTGCATTGAAGAGTGCACCTTTAACATCACGTGACTCAAAATAAGATGACGTCATCATCACACCAGGTCAGTTTTTGGCGTTCTATACAATGCGGCACCACGTGCTCGGCATTTTGCCAGGTCCTGAGTATATGCCCTATGCACTGTGCGCTGCCGGCCCCACGTTACAGTCAGATATTGAGCATCCACGGAAACAGCAGCCAATCCACAGTACGCGAAAGGGATTTTCGAGTTCGCAAATATTTTTTTGGGGGGCGGGGTTCGTTGTCGGCGCTTAATCTGTGTGAAGAAGTACACTACTTATGCACTTCATGCAGTTGACTTCAATATTAGCTGTCATCTAATGAACAATTTATGATTAAATCTATTACAGTTGATTTTTAACCGCATTTTGAAGAATAAAAGAAGTTTTTATCATAACTTCCGATCTGATGATGTCATCGGCCCCAACTTTCACACATATATTAACTGGGTTAAGATAATCTTCTACATCAATTTTCAGGCGATTTGGACAAACTTCGCCACAGATATCCATTCAAAAATTTATTTTTTCAGAATTTTTAACCTGTCTCTAGAGGGCGTTCGACAATTACGGGACGTCATCAGCAGATGGCTTGAAAAATACCATACCCCAACAGACTAACACCGTTGAAAACAACTTGATATCTTTTACCACTTTAAAATAAAAAAAACCCACTAGTGGTTTCGACCGGAAGGATGGGTGACGTGATTTGTCCCACACGAGATGAATTGAAGACCAAATTTTGGTCTGGCACTTGCCGCAAACAGAATGCTGCGGGTGGCCACTGTTGATTTTATATGGATTTGTACAACATTAACATTATATTTAAATATTCAAATTTCATAATAAGTCACTTTGGTAATGTCATCATGACGTACTTATTATCTTTGCTTCAAGGCTTTCCTTTGTGTACCTTAAGGACGACTGAAAATCGCTAAGTTATCAAATTGGGCCTTGGAAACGTGCACAAAGTCAATGGGCTGAAGTAAATATTAAAAATTCAATTAAAAAAAACACTTGATGACGTCATCATGACGTCATTGTGAACATGAACATCTTTGAACTAAAGTCCTTAGTTGATGTAAGTTTCATGAAGATCCAAAGTTCCAAAGGGACCAAAGTTGATGGTGGAAGAAACATGCACAAAAGAGATGGGCTTTTGGTAAGAAGAGAGAGAAGAAAGAAAAAAGGCAAAAAAAATGCCTTTTTCGCAAAATTGCGAAAAAGCCAAAAATCTTTAACAAAAGCAATAGCTAGTTCGTCAAGAATGTACTGCGATGGAACCGCACGCACGAGTAGGTCATGCGGCCGTACCCTGGCAATTTTACCATACCGGGTATTTTCCCTTTCACCCGTTTTTCAGGGCGTTGGGTCGTTATCTTAGAATCAAATTAGTAATTTGTGCTTCTGCGCTTGTGTCTTAAAGCTTTTGCTTGTTGCCACATAAACCTACTTATGAAGATTCAGATCGATCGTTATGACATCACTGTACTGGCAAGCGACAACTGCGTATTTTCGTATTGTCTGTCAGAAGAAACGTAAAAGCATAAGCTTTTTTCAAACACCCAAAATAACTGTCTTAATTAGTTTGTCCTAACAAAGATCAGAAAACGACTTTTGGACAAGCCAAAATCAACGTCCCCATCATATGTGCAGATGTGATGGTGATATATTGCAATGTAAACACGGTGTCGCCTAGACTTTTCTATTTCGTTTCCATACCAGCCAGGAATAGGCGAAAAGGCGAACTTGACGCCGGAATGTATACAAATGTAACAAATTCGTTTTAACGAATAGGCAAAAGCTTCATGAATTTTAGCGTTTTCACGAATAGGCGAATTTGTTTGTTTTCAAAAAAACAAATGTAATTGACTTCAATAATATTTTTATGTCATTTAGGATCCCCTCTTTCATGTAGCGTTGAGTACGGTCAAAGGATTGCTAAATATTTACGGGAAAATAAGCGTTTTAAAAAGAGACATCTTCAAGTTTTACGATAATTAAAAAAAATCAAGTTTGCCTCCTTCTTCTCCATTTAGGGTTACATAAACTGCAAACAGATGCGACACTTTTCCTAACTTTGAATTTTTTCAGAAAGCGTGACGATACTATATGGTTTCCAGTTCGTTTTACTTCTCTTCCGTCTTCTCAGCGCTTAGTCTTCTTTTTGCAATCTATGAAACTACAGGCAAGGAATACTTACCTTTGACGAAAATAATCAGCCAAAATAATTGAATTGTCTTCATTGTCTGTTTGTCCAACTGCTGCTGGCAAACTTATAGATTGTTCGTTTTCGTGTCGATTTTCACGGTCCTTTTTATAAACTCCCACTGTCAGTAAGCTGGTGACAAATTCGTTTCCAAGAAAAGCTGGACTTGTTAGTCGGCTAGAGTGTAGACTACTCTCCGATTGTCGCCATGTGTGCAGGAGTTTATGTCACTACACGCTCGGTTTCAGTCGTTAAATATTGTTTTATCCCATAGTCCCGCCCAAATTTATGTTATGCGGGCCGAAATGACTTACAAAGAATGTGATAACCGTCATTGCTGGGTAGAAAATTGAGCGGGATAATCACCTCGTCAGTCGGTGAGCTTGACTTCGTATTACTCAGGGAGGCAACGTAATAATGATGAGCTCAGTTCATTTTTTTGTAATAAGCTCTAGCGTTTCACTTTTCATAATGCAGTGTATCAGCCATAAATGGGATCATTGGAAACTATAGCACTCATAATGTACGCCATTGCACGGATACCTATATGTGGCGGAATTTAACTTTCCATATTGTGCATGAATCACATTTCTGGACCCTTGTTGGTTCTAGTGACTTTGAACTTGTCGTTAATGCGCCGTTTATTTTTTCCAGTTTGGGCTGGACCTCAGCGGTGTCTGGGTAATCGATCATGCAGCCATCTGCTTTTACAATTTTTTGAATAATGGCTTCTTCGTAATTTAGTGCGTCAGTAGAGTTGGCTTCGTGCCAAGTGGAATGATTGTCATTCAGGCTGTTTGGAGCAATTTATCCATTAAATGATATAGTGGTCCGTGTATTTAAATCATATTTTTAGAGGGTTTAAGAGGAGCTTTGTTGTTACCATCAGAAAATTCATCATTTGTCACCACGTCTCCCGGATTGTGCGTCAAAGACGTCTACACGAACCATTATGAGATTAAGAAGTTTTTATCGTTTATGGACGTTGTCGACCATTACGTGCATGGGCTATTAAAATTTGCCAAAAAATCATCTCCGTCCGGTAGCATTTTGTTTTTATCAAAGTGTACATTTTGTTTAATTTAATCTCAAGGGGGGCCCTATTTTCATTTAATATATTAAAGTAGTACTGAGAAGTAGTAGTAATCACTTTGTGTTTTAAGACTCGTATGAGATTTGTTTACACTTTGTTTCAATTTAATAAAACTCAAAAAGTCAACTCAATTCAATTCAAACTTTATTTTACCACCTTTCAGATCCGTTCAGTTTTGGAGGGGGTGCCCCACCTTTCGAAGAAATGTTCCTCCAATAATGTCCCAAACATGATCACTCCTAAACGTAGTCTTCAGGTCAACTGCCACTTTGTAAAACGTCTTCAAATTTCAAACAAACATAAGCCAACAATTAATCTTCCACCTTATTACGTCTTTCCTCCAGATCTAAGGAGGCTTGCAAATCTTGGTCAGTGCACGGCGTCGGCAGTACTGGTCTTTCTTTCTATAGCCTGGAAGTTTGAGTATGTTGGCGTGAAACAACAAGGTGTAGCTTCGATTCACCCTAAAATAATGTTTTTTGTTTGTAGGTGTGGTGCGTTTAATTGACCCAGTATTTTTCTGCTCTTCCTCTGTCATTGTACATCCTTTAGGTGTGTAGTCCCATCCATTTTTCACCTGTCTCCTTTAGGTAGGTTCTCCTCGTTATGCTGTCTACATTTCCTATGCCTTTCTGCCAAATGGGTTCACAGGACATATAGTTTGCCATGAAGGAGACCTTAATTGAGATGTATGGCGATCGACACAAATACATTTTGACTGCACTTCGAAGCACTTAGGCCTACACTTCAGACCACTGTTTTATGTTGAGATTCGTACACATGTATTAGCATATGGTACAAGCAAATGGTAAATGCAAAGTTCCAAGGAAAACCGCCTAAGTCATCTCAGAAGTGTTTTGCGCATTAAAAACTGATTGGTTTAATGGACTGGCTTTAGACTTCAGTCATTCTCAGTTGAGGTAAATCTTGCTTTTCTCTGTAGCAAATTGAAATGATATAAACTAGTCAGAATTTAATCCTATTGGTGCGTCATACTTGACGTCATACTTAGTATACCTTCTGAAGAGACGTCTTCGCTCTAATACTAGTGGTATTAAACTGTGAATTTAAACTAGGCCACTGGAGAATCTCTCCTCAACTCAACCTATAAAGATTTCGAGGCACCGAATCGTTCCTCAGTCATAAAATTCCGCTGTCGGATGGAAGAAGAAAGAACATCGCAAGACAAGTTGGCAAAAGGTGATTTAAGGTGAGGTTGTATTCTCTATCGCAAACTACATGGCTGCTTTGCAGGTACCGGTGGTTCATATTTGGTGTGATTGTGAACACTGGAATTTTGAAAGGTGTACATTCACATGACTTATGAATCGGACATACCTGCTAGTTGGTTTGTCGACCATCTTGCATTTTTGAACAGGTACTTCTGCCGTCCTCGACTGTGATAACTCATCGCTGAACTTCTTATTGTAGGAATTTTTGCGAGATGTCCAACGCTCTTTTGCTTTGCGTTTGTAGATATTTTGATCCAGAATTCTTCTTGGAGCCAGTTAAATGCAATATTATTACAGGGCGTCTGTATAGCGGAGCGATGCCTAGGCCTTATACATTCTGTCTTGCCTTCCCTCGCATATTATTACTTTCCTTCTTCTTTTCCTGCAGCCACACACTATAATCTTCCAGACGCAACCGAAGTTTACATCATGTCGGCCCAGCGATCCTCCGGCCTTCGCCTACCAGCTTTGATGCTGGCCTTGCTGTCGGTGTTCGCCGCGATACCGAGCCACCATGCCAGGCCACGGCCCGCGATGCAGAAACGAAAATCCCCCACGAGGCTAGGCGCTCCTAGTCACACCGGTGAGTACATGTACTAGCACGAGGGCCGGCTCATGGCATCCAGTAGGCAATGTTCATGGGGCGTTCGAAAAATCAGAGGTCCCACAAAATTCATACCCCTATGTGCAAAACCACCAACTCCTACGCAAAGTCTTCATTTTTCAAGTTTCAGAATTTTCGTTGGGGGGGGGCTTGAAAGTTCAAGCTTGCAAACATAATCTCAATACCTCTTTGCATCAATGTGACATCCAAAACCACAACGCTCGCCTGAAAACATTCAAACCTGAAAACATTCAACTGGCTACCTTAAACTTACACCAGAGCTCTTCAAAATGTACGATGTCGACTCGAACAGCTTCCTCGAGCCCATTGAGGTGATGTTGTTGCTGCAGCGACCAGACCAAGTCAATGCTGTGGACGAATTCGTCCTCAAGCTGAAGACGGTCTTCAACAAGGCCGAAACCAACGGTAAGTTATCAATAAATGTATATCATTTGGCTTTGTGATAAACCATCTGATGGCTTTGTGTCACCTCACCTTAAAAGTAAGAGCTACACTTGATGGGTCTGTGCAATTAAGTCTGAGAGACATGCAGACTATTTGATATCCTACATTTTGGTAATGTATTCAACACTAAAAGTTTGCCATGCTTTTCTGCACTACCGAGGGGGTTGTTACCTGGATGTCATTCTAACACATGTACATGTAAATCTCTTGTATGACCGTGGTGATTATGACGTTTCTTTCACAAAGTCAATTCAGATTATTCGTATCAATATGGTTGCCTTCTGAGGTACATGTACAACCAGCATCCCTTTTAAAAAAGGTTTGGCTTATTCGTTCGCAGGGGATGGGAAGTTGGACATTGAAGAGTTTGACAGGGCTGTTTCAGCCGAGCCACGTGCTCCAACTCAGGTTGAGGCATCCGGGACTTTTGAACTCTTTGACGAAAATGGGGACCAAGTGCTGAAGTAAGTGGATGCGCATTGATGCACAGTATCCCCTTTCTTAGGAAGTTTTGTATGTTAATAAACAAATCCAGTTATAGCCATGCCCACTGCACATGTAGCGTTTATCGATTGGATGTCAGTGTGCGCGTACGCAGGTCGGATATAAAATTGTTTATTAGTCGAAAGACCATAGGATGGGTCTTGCTGGCTTGATTCTGGCTATGCCACAGAGTTTTCGCTGTGTTGATACATACACTCCGTGCTACCGTGTAACAGGGGCTGGTGGATTAAAATTAGCCGGTGGTATAAAAGAAGCTGTTGGTCTAAAACGTGTATCGGTTGGCTTAAAAACAGAACTGTGCTTGGTTGAAGAAAAAGTATCGTTGGTAGGCCTACATTGTAGGAAAGGAGCTGCAATGGATAAATAGCTTGTGATGTAAATATTCTGTACAAATGCTGACGTCGTCTCTGACCATGCGCTCTGCTCTGATCAAGTTTTTTGTGGTGACTAAAATTACTAAAGCAGCGGGGCATATATGCGAAGCTGATTTAAAATACTATTTTTTGTGGGACGTTTGGAAATTTTGGGGGAAACAAGATTTGGGATAAACTTGAAATTGATTGTAAAACTAAATGGAAAAATAATGTAGAAACAATTAAATTAAAAGGAAAGTCTGCGCCCTGTAATGCCTTGGCATCAGTTCATAATCTTGCAAAAGTATTAGTTTAATAGGTTTTCCCGGCCGAATTCGTCATCTTCACAGTCAGATCCATTATTGTTCATTTGTATTGCAACGACTTTTCAGCTGTTTCTTTTTTATAGAGCCTTCAAATTCGTTTACAGGCGTCGAATAATGTACTGTTTCAAATTCAATTTAGAACTGACTTCATTCAATTGAACAGTGCATAACCATAATTCGATTTTACGCTGGGTGACTGAAATGATAAATTCTCCCCGAGTTTTACTTTCGTCAATGGGCAATCATGTTCTCATTTTGAGCCTTCAAATTAGAAAACTATAAGGTAAGAGAAATATACGGCAACTTGAGATGAGTATAGAACAGAAAGGGGGTTAGTGTGTGTGTCCCAGATATTGACTTGAGTGTATATTTTTTATATCTCAAACAAATTACACATCGAGAACTATACTTTGCAGCAATACTGATTGCCCGTTTAATCAAAATGTAGAAATGAAATTCCCCCAGACCTTCATCGCTGATGCTAAAAGAAGAAAATCCTTCAGATGCAGTTTACTTTGTAATTTGTAATCTTTTTATCTTATGCACAAGAAACATTTTTAAATGTGCATGTACACTAAGACTTTTCGGATTCTCTCAAACAATGCTTATTTCATTTTTGTCACATTTTTAAAGTAATATTTTGCTTTCATTTTTCATTCTACTTTTCTTATCCTTTTAGATTAGATTTTAGCTTTCCCCCTTGTCCATTTGTGTGTTATAAATATTTTTACATGAATCACTGTAATTCATTATTTTTATAACAATTCAAACAGAAACGAAATACGGATTAGCAAATAAACGGTGTTATTTTTTCTATGTTGTTTCAGTTTTCCTCCTCGGTTGGCGTGCCAGACATTTTGGCTTATGTTTTGGTTTGGTTATACTACTACATGCAGTCCAATTGATCTACCGAGACCCTCTTGCGTACAGCGACCACGAGCTGTCATTTCTGTAGAAAAAAAAGTGTTTATAACTGTAGCGAAAGGCTGTCTTCGAAGAACATCAGCAAAGTGTCTCCTGCGCCAATAAGTCAATCGTATTTATACCATGAACATTCTGAAGGAAACGTTTTAACTGTTTGTGTTTTAGATTGCACAGATTACAGAAATGCCTGCCCAATAATGAAGATGAATGACCAAACACATACCTCGAAAAAGCGCCTGCGAAATTGAATGCTTTTTACGTGAATTGTTTATTTGGTTGATAATTTGTTGAATCTAACGACGCAACTGTACATTTGTCTAGTCTTAAAACGAAATCGAATTATTGTTTTACAGCTGCATTCAATTTCACGCAAAATAGAATGGCTCGGAGGTTAAATTGGCTGCTCATTTACCGAATTGACCAAGAAAACCTGTGTTACCATGCATTTGTGTAAATACCTCTGTGTCGCTCAGCACATTGTAACTCACAGGCATGTCGTGAACAAAAAAGAAACTGAAAGTTATTCTTTCTATCTTACAAATTGTCATACAATGTTGTGAAAAATGTATACAATTTAGCTCTGATACTGCCGTGATGAACTTCCTATATATATGTATATCAAATTACCTGTACCATTCCCTAATATGCACGAGGGTACTCGGATCTTGTTACTTCAGCCAGCCGGGCCAGTTTGCAAAATTGTGTACGAAATTGTGAACTTACAGCTAACCTTGGAAACTGAATATGACCACAAAAAATTGCTCTACGCGCTTTGCAATTTTACCTTTGGTGTCTCATCAAACAAAGTCTATCAAGTTTTTCCCGCTCCTGTGGAAATTTTAAGTTATTACATATTTGTAACGTTAAAAATACCTTACTTACATACGTATTTCAAACTGATACCCAATAATTGAGTGCAGGCAAACTTGGCCATTTAAAATATCAAGGACACTGCTGTACTCTAATTGAGGACAATACTTCACAAGACGACAAAATGTGCGACAATTTTCTCCGCGATATTCAGTCACAGAAATCATACTGAGAAAGCATTTCTTTAAGGTCCTTGAATACCTTCGTGGACAACCTGTTAATTGTTAAATGTATTCATTAGTAGGCTGTGCCAATAACACGACGGGGGATGTACAAATGGAATAAAATCCCTTTGTTGTGGTTAATGTTAGTGACCTTTTAAATGAATGTTTTAATCCTGACAAATGATGGCGTATGTGTGACGTACATTTGAGAACCCACAATGGCAGTAGAATTATAGTCAGGCACCCTTTTAGTGCGTCTGGACCTAAGAGAGACATGGACATTAATTAATTGTACACACAAATTTTGCAAGCCGTAGAATGTTCGAACGTGTGTGTACGTGTACGTGTACATGTCCACGAAAACGATACCCCCGCGCACGGTAAAAGCATGTACACATGGTGCACTCACCGCATAACGTGTTGCTGTTGTGGTGTACATAAATTACATCAATAGGGCACCGTGACCTATACACACAAATATATTGAATGGAATAGCCTGGGCCGATTTGGAAGCATTTCTTACCCTTGGTCGTTCGTGTTTCATGCAAGCTCCTCTTCGTCTTTGTTTATTGAATTTCTTTTTGGAGATTGTTTGGAATTCGTTGTCAGTCCTGACCTTTTGGCCCTGGTCAGCCTTACTTCCAATATCCAAATTCACCTATATAAATTTCGCTTAGTTGAAAAGTTGTGCAGGCTTGCCCTACTTTATGGGGTTCCTTCAGCCTGCGACAACACATCTGGTCGGCGTGATCTCTAAAACACCCAATTTGCACAAATTTCCCGAACTCGACCCAAGACAAGCATGGACACGCTAGCGCCGCGTGATGATATCTTCTGAAGTGTACGTCACGGATATGCAAATTTTCCATGTTAACGAGATATACCTCTCGGGTGCGGGGCCGTTTCGCTAAGAGAATTTTTAATTGTTTCTCCCATGTATTGATCAAAACAGCAACTTTTTCATTCTGGATATTGTATAAAACCGAACAGTTTTCAATTATAACCAATAAAAACACTTTCCATGGGTCCTTAAAAGCTTTAAGGGCTTCGATAAAACAACTTCGTTATATCCCACACTTCCATTCAGGAGTTACTGGCTAGTACTTAATTGTATACTGGTTGAAGGAAAGATTTAGTATACGAAGTTCCCTGTGCATAATATTTGTACTATAGATCTAGTCGCTGTGTCTGTATGGTAAGCTCTGTCAGAAAATGTTTTTGCTATACCTCCCTCATAAGTGGACACGGGCCGACTCTGGAAATTTGCCAACTATCTCGAAGCCCTTCCCAAAAAAAGTCTCCGACTTTTTTTTTTTACCTTCACTTTTCTTTGTGGAAACGATGTACATGTACGTATAACGAGCGATGTCCATTGCGACTGCGTGCGCACGTAACGCCGGCCGCTAACAACACTATAACAGACTGCCCCAGCACTTTTTACTGTTTAAAAGCATTTTCAGCTTGTACATGTACATAGGACATGAGACCACCTCGTTTGTCTGGTTCCCAGACGTAAATAATACAGAAATGACGTAATCTGAAAAAGAGTGCCGAACTAAATGTATCTGGCCTAGAAAGACTCATTTACTGTATAGAGTACTCAATCGTACCCATCCAAAACACTTTAAAATTACGCATCCCATTCGATCAAGCATGTTTGGCAGCATTTGGACATCGTTTATACCAAAAAATTGTTTATTTTACTGACGCGCTGACCAGAAACCGCAGACTCTTTTTTGCCTAATCATAAAAGTCTTCACAGATTTCTCTTACCACTCTGGTGAGAGAAACTTGGGACCGTTCATATGCACCAAAGGCCTCTCTCCCCGATTACAACTATTTAAGGTATGGTTCTCAAGTTGGAATACAAAATTTAGAAATAAGGCACGGTTTTGCGTTGCAGCCCCTGAACGCCTTGCTCCATCCAGCATACTGGACACGTGAATATGGCTTGTTAAAAGGCATTCACAGTGTAAGCCAAGCTATAAAACGTTTCAATGATCCATGAGTAAAATTACGAATTATATTTCTGTAACAGTAGAGCAGCTACCACGACAGTAGGAGGTACAAATCAGTTCCCCGTCACTAATCCTTTTTATCTGAACTGCCGGGAAATATCGGGGTGTTTTTCTTACCAAGTCTCATTACTCTTGGAAAAAAACTAACTAAATGAAAGAAAGAGCAAAGAAGAAATAGAGAGCTATCTACTTATAAATATGTATGTTTTATTTACTTTTTTAAAGTTACAACGAGGTGGCCAATGCCATTCAACGGATGACTGAGAATATACCCTCCAGCGACTTCATCGAGCAGATGTTCGCCCGTACTGACACAAATGGTGATGGTGCCATTGACCAAAACGGTATATTCCTATAATGTTTGAAACGGGGCACATTTTACAGACCAAGAATGGACAAGGTTCAGAAATCAACATACACATTTATATTTCGAAACATCGGGTCACCCTTAAATAATCACAGGAATCTGATTCACGTACATCGTACCCCGCCTTATGTGCGAAAAATGGACTGGTGCATTTGACGCAATGACTCGCCTCTTCGTGCCGTTATAGTTTTGAGAACCTGTGGAGTGGTATTCAAACTGAAAATATCCTCTTCGTCGTTGTCTTATTGTGGTTTCCTTTCCAGAGTTCACTCGAGCCATGCAGGTGCAAGACCAGAGTGAAATACCCATATAACGACCAACCAAAAGCATCAACCTGCTGGACCTTCACACGGCGGTAGAAAAAATAGAACAAAAAACCACGAGTTATGAAAACTACTTCTGCTACACAGGTATATACACAAGGCCTGTCAGAAAAATCACGCGACCCGATGTCAAAATAAATTGTACTCCAGTCTTTGCTGTCCATTCAAAAGGAGCCAGTACAGTGGCCCTTGCTTTCCACTATCCATGGAGCTCTATAGGGAAGCACACACGTATGAATGTGTGGCTTACAGTTGCAGACTCTACTCTCACTTAAATTATAAAAAGTACATCAAGTGAGTATTAAGCTCACGCCATTTACTGCGTTTGCATATAGACGAATGGTTAAAAACGTGTAGCTTACCACTGTGTCTGTATGTACAAGTGGCTCAAAATGTACATGTACATATCAGATTTTCATTTGGTGTTTGTTGTGTATTAAAATTGAAGCGAAAAACATTTTAATTAATGGGTAAGGATGTTCAAGGAAAAGTTAAATGGAGGAACATCTGTTTTGAACAGGCAGGGATGAAGAACATTAACCATATACGGCAGACGTATGAGCCATGTGAATTTATTTTTAAAAAAATCATACTCGTGAGGGAACTGCTAATTATGACAGGGATAAAGACATGAATTTTGCATTAAACCACAACACTGCAGATGCTCGTGCCTTGTGAATTAATTAAAAATATCATGCTCCTGAAGGAATTATCACACTTCCGGCGGTATCTTGCAATGTACTACGATTGCTGTTTGATGTTCATGTTAGCATCTGCTGCTTAGGTTTAGGCTGTCATCACAACAACAAAAATCTTGAAGTTTCTACGCATAACCCAATATATAAACCTGTTCCCCGAGGTCGTTGAAGAAATAAACACAGAATAAAATGCAGCTAGATGTTTTATCAAGAATGTTCTCTTCCTGTCACAAAAACACTGATTAACAAGGTATATTAAGTCAAAACACAGTTTTCCAAATACCCTTGCATCAAAGTCATTTTAGCCTGACCTAGAAAAAAACCCATTTTTTTCAGTTCAAAGTTTTTTTCAAATGTGACAAAGAGCTATATCAACACAAATCAAAACAAAGACTAACGGCACTCGTCGTGTTGCCTACCAACGATCATGACTGTGTCAGGTTGAAAGACACTTTACTATCCTTGCAAGCTAAGTGAATCGCCGGCGCCCATTACTGAATGGTTCTGTGACAAACACTCCTCGACATCCCTATGTCGTAGATCCGCATGCAAGTCTTTGAAGTCTCACCCTCCACCAAAAGTGGGCGCTGTGACGCATTTCCAGGAAAACAGAACGAAATATGTTTGTTGCGCATTGTGGAAGCGCCATATTTGGAAATTTGTGATCATGGGTTTGTCTCCTGGGCCGGCACGCTACCTTTTAAATATTCCGAATAAAAATTCAAACGTAAGGGTTATTTTTTAAAAAGGCGTTCCTTTAGAGATGCAAGTTGCTCAATGTAGAATAAACGTGTTTGAAAGTATGAGTTTAGATCCAAGCGAGGACACTTTTTGAATTCATACTCGAAATTCAAACCTAAGGTTTAATTTAAAAAACTTTGTTCTTTCAGAGAGGTTTGTGGTTCAGTGTGGAAGCGTCGTGTTTGAAAGTGTGGGAAGCTGGTTTGAATTCCGGAGAGGCACCTTTTTTCAATTTCAAATTATGAAGTCAAGCCTTAGGGCTAAGTATTAAAAAAAAGTTCTCGCAGAGATGTTTGTGGCATAGTGTGGAAGAAGCGCGTTTGAAAGTGTCAGAGGTGAGTTCGAATCCCTGTAAGGACACTTTTTGAATTCAATTTCAAAATTCAAACTCAAATTTGAAATAAATTCAAAAATAATTCAAACCTAACGGTTAAATTGTTTTTTCAGAGAGCAAAGAGGCTTAGTGTGGAAGAATCGTGTTTGAAAGTGTGAGGTGATGGGTTGGATTCCCACGGAGGCCATTTTTTTAAGTCAATCTCTAAATTCGAACTGAAATTTGTAATTCAAACTTAAGGGTTGAGTTTTTAAAAAGGTGTTCTTTTAGAAATCGAAGTGGCTCAGTGTGGAAGAATCGTGCTTGGCCCGAGAGATGATGGGGTTCGAATCC